CCCTGGCTGTCCTAGAATTAGTTTTGCAGACCAGGCTGGCCTTGAACTCATAGAGATCCGCTGTCTCTGCCTCCCAAGTGCTGGTACTAAAGGCCTGTGCCACCACCCCCCTTACAGAGTGAAATTTTAATGGAGTCACTTCAGGTAAAGTGAGAACTCAAAACTAAAGTGTTAGGGCACTGGGCTGGCCCTTCCCAGACATCTCAAATCTCACCACAGAGATGCTGCTACCATTCAGTCATTTATTTTCCATGGCTCAGGTCTGGAAAAATACTGCCCTGTGGAGGAGCCCACACCCTATGCCATCTGCTCTCCACTGTCACTGTGTCACCGAAGACCCCAAAGCCCTTCTCTCAGTCCCCCATCCCATTCTTCCCCAGCTACTCAAAAAGACACCGCAGCCCCCGACTGCATCAGGTGATTAATGACTCCCTAGGCGGTGGGGCTATTTTGGGTCCTGGAAGTCATGTCTGCAGTGATTGAGAGCTGGCCCTGCCTGGCTTCAGCCATCTGTCACTGGAGACAAGCCCAAGCAGGGGGCTTGAGGGGACACATGCTCCCCAAGAGACTTGAAAGTATGGCTCTCACTCAGCCCCAATTCTCCTCTTGAAGATACATGGCAAAAAATGGCCCCAATTCTTGACTATACTCCAGGGCCCAAGGGGAACCTCATGTAAGAAGGGAAAAACTACAGATCCCGGAATGCCACGGGGCCCTTCCCAGACATCTATGCTATGGTTGCTTCAGTTCCCTTCAGGACAGATGAGGTGAGAATTCCAGGTTCTGTGGGCCCAGGCAGCCCTACGGATACCCAAGTGGAGGCATGCGCGAATCTCCACAGCACCATAGGAAGCCCACAACTCACACATCATAAATCCCACAAACTCCATGCCAGCGTACAACTTCATGAAAGTCCTCATCAGTTTCCTGACTCGGGGCTTTCAAACCAAACTCCAAAGCATAAAATCCCAGGGATGTGCAGTCCCAGGGTGCAGCCTTGGAGACGTGCAATTTAGTATGTAATGCCCAATCCCACTAACACAGACTCCCAGAGACAAAGCAGTGACAATCTGGGCTACAGTTCCTGCCGTCTGGTCAGACGTGGACTCACTAGTGAGCTTAGCTTGTTCTACCTTCATTTTCCCCCTTTATTTTTCGACACTGACAGGTTATTGTAAGACACCCCACAAAACTCAGGTAATGCGATACAGGCTGCCCCTTTCCCCCCCGTCAGCGGCAAGCGTCCTCCTCACATTCCTGCGCCCCCTCCTTTGAGTCCCTTCATTCTTCAGTGAGCAGCCCTACCCTCTCCAATGTTGTGAGCCAGGATGCCACTTCCTTTTATCTTATCCTGCTGCTTCAGGAGTGATCACTGCTCTACTGTCAGATTGCCCTTACCCCGATTACGTGCGAGCCCCTGTTTCTTCGGATTCCTTCTCTCCGCCTCTTTACGGCTCCAATCCCGAGCCACTAATTTTTAGAGGGGTCCTGCCCTTCCCTTCCCTTCCTCATACCTGGCGACAGCGACCCAGTCACCAACTGGTAGAGGGATCGAGCTGCCTGCCCCAGCGGGCTCCGGCACCTGCGGGGGCAGCGGTTCATGGCTGGGCTCAGAGAGCTTTGTCCAAGCTCCGCCCCCACGGTCCCTGGCTGAGGGGCGGTGCCGCCCCCGTTGGAGTGGGCGGTGCAAGAGGGCCAGCCGGGCAGGCGGGGAGTCTCACACCCCGAGCGTCTCATCTGCAGGTTGCTGGCCTCACGAGAGCACCTTGACCAGATCATCATGAGCACTCTGCACCCACCCCCAAAGCTCTCAGAGACAGGGGCGTGGCGGAGCTTTCTCTCCAACGTCTTCTGGATTTCTGGTAAGGAAAACAGGTACACACAAATTTCGAAAGAAAAGCTGGATGACTTATTTTAAATCGGGTCTTGTCTGGCACTTGCTACCATGGTTCAGGCTGGCCTCGAACTTACAGCAATGCTCCTGTCTCATCTTTCCAAGTGCTGGGATTACAGACGTGAACCACTATACCAGGAAGGTTTTTTTTTTTTATTGCTCTATTTTAACCCCTCTCTGGCTGTTTCTCCCACCCCCACCTCCCATATTAGCACAGGGACGTTACAGGGGTGAGAGGACACAGTTGTCATGGCAACTCTCCACACTTCCTGGGCCGGAGGGAGGAGAAAGAGGACAGTGTATCAGTGTGGTGAAGAGGCGGCGCTGTGTGCCTAGTGCTGCCTTCCTGGCTCCACATCGCGTTCAGAACTATGTCTGGTGTTGTCTTTCGAGTCTTCTGACAACACACGCAACAAGTAGAATCCCCTCATCCGTGGGTCTCTGTCTAAAGCCCTTTCTAGGACTTATCATTGTCGTTAAAACTCCAGGTAAATCCTTCCAGCGTTAACACTTCCAACTCCTGGGAAAGGCCATAGAAGATGTGCGATCCAATTTTGCCCACTGTGTGTGGGAGGGGCAGGGGAGTAAGCCTACATTCAAGGAGACAATTATCCCCAAACCCCACACTTGGTCAACTTGATGCCTTGGCAACGGAGCCCCTGAGCGTCATACGGAGGGCTCTTTAGCCACACGGGGGCACTCCACACTCAGGAACCACACTTTATTGCCGATGGAACAAGACTCCGGAGATCCTGGCCCCAGGCTCCACTCAGGACCCAAGTGTCTGTTGAATTTGTACTGCCTTTTCTCTCCTCTTTTCAGCGGGGTTCGCTGCTAAGCGCTGGTGTCAGCCTTCCCCACTCTGCGGCACTGCCAAACGGCCCCGATGAGCAAGTAACACACCAACAATGGGGGGAGGGGGCTCCCGGACCACATCCTACACTACCCGGACTAAGAAACTGTCTTTTCCGACTGTTAGAGCTTGAGGCAAAACTGGAACAGTCGGGGTGTATCTAAGATGCTCTGAGGCATAACTTTAAGGGCACTACACTGTCAGCCTAATCAACCAAGACGACAGAGACGTTGCCTCGTCCTCTACCCCAAATCCCATTGAGGTTGCATAGGGAAGGGGAGGGCGGGAGCATGCTTCAGCACCGTGGACAACGACGCCCCTTTGGGATCCAATCAGCAGGCTCCAGTCACAAGCTAAGGCCCTCTTCAGGAATGAGAGGTTCTGGTAGTCTTTTTTTCTAGTCACGTCAGAGCTATCTACAGCGAGGATGCTGATGACCGGTCACGGTTATAGGTTCTAGACCTTCTTTCCTTTGGGAGGCTGTCAGCAGCCAGGAGGATGCACACAGTAGGGAACATGAGGCCAAGGCAATAAAAGTCATACAACTGACATACTTCCACTCCTGACTGTGTCTCCACCCTCCCCAAATCCTGCCACACTTTAGTCAGATAGGACGGCAGGAAGGCAGGGCGTGATGGTACACACTGATTCTAGCACCCTGGGAAGTGTGGTAGGAGAGTTTGAAGTCTGGGTCCAGCTTGAGCTACCTAGTAAATGAGTTCAAGGCCAGAAACACCATCTCACAGTAAGTTAATTAAAAGTCAATCACATAGCCCAGAAGGAGGAGATCATGCCCTAAGGGGAGAATCAGGACAGGAAGCAGCCTGACTCCAGAGCTCCTGGACCCTTACTGCGTTCCAGGGTCCTAAGGGTACAGAGTAGAACTGGATCCCACACGGTGCCCACACGGTGAGCATTCTTCCTTCTGGGGTCTTGACATGCAGCTAGTGTGGTGCCAAAGCCGGTCGGTAGAGACTCTTTCTTAAAGCCCGCCCGACATCCTGGCCCCCTTCCCTGCTTCCCAGGTCTGACCCTGACTCCACCAAGGAAGGGCAGGGTCTATGGTCCTCCCCTCTTGCCCGGCTGTTTCTGTCTTAGGAGAGACGGCCTTCCTCCTATTGTTGGTTGGAGTTCTGAGGGAGACTGTACTAGGATGCCATACAAAGTCATTTCCATAAACACACATGTCTGCCTACAAATTCAGACCTCTACAAGTACACAGATGTACCTGGTCCACAGACCCTCCCAACGTGATCTGGAGTGGAGGGCATGAGGGCAGCCTTACTCAACTTCCCAGACTCACGACTTCCACTTCTGGCTCTGAAGGAGAGTGAGAAGGTGAGGTTTGGGTGAAGTTCTAAAGGAGTTGTTGGTGATTTAAGGATCTGAGTAATTATTCTCCTTCGTGGGAACTAACCCAGCACTAACCGAAGGCTCTCTACAGGGCCCGGGTGCTGGAACCATAGGGTGCTTCTGCAAGTCCCTGAGGTCCCTTGTGTGTCCTTGAGTTATTTGCAGAAAATGGAGGGAGTTAGTGTGGGACCCTAAAGACCCTCACTAACACTAGAAAGACATAAAAGACATGAACACTCACAGAGCACCATGCATGGGAGTACACAGCACCAAATGCCAAAACAACCCTAACCCCACAACCACAACCACACGTTTAATGAGTCTTATGAGGAGACAGAGCAACGCAAAGTGACATCTTGGTGCACTCTGGTAGTTACATGCCACTTTATACAGAATCATTCAAAGCTCATAGCTGAACATGCAACAGACACGCGGTCAAAACAACTTCACTAGTGCAGCCGGAATCCTACACAACCACACTCGAACATCTGGCAAGACCATGAAATCGCTCTGCCTCATGCGGTCACACTCACCCTGGCTGTCACCAAACCTCGGGGCACATGGCAACTAGCTGTGGGAGGCGCACATATACATACACAGACACACAGGAATGACAGGTGCGCACGCACGTAACACCTCCCACTCCAGACACACTCCTAGCCCGGTGTCACGCACGCCTACACCTGCTGCCTCTCCACACCTGCCTCACCTGCTCTTCCTCCCCCCTCCCCCCACCAGCCTAAGCTTTGAATCCCAGGGTCTTGCCGCCCAGACCAGCCTGGAAGGTGCGTGTGAATGGGGCAGAGTGTGGGCAGGGGCCAAGCCAGGGTCAGAGATGCCGAAGGGTCTAGGGGGAGGGAGTCCGCCCACCCGCCCAGGACCCCCGAGCCACCGACTCACCCGTAAGCTGGTCGTAGGAGCCGTCCAGATCTCGGGATTCGGACAAACTCTCCTTCCGGCCTTGGCCCCGCATGGCCCCCGGCGCCCCGCTCCCGCCTGGGCCGTGGGAGGGGGCGCCGGGTGGCCGGGATAGGGAGCTCACACGGCGCCCCCTGGCGGCGCAGCGACCTGCCGGGGCCGGGGGCTGGGAGTAGGGGCTGACAGGGCTTTTGTCTGGGGACTCCCTGGGTTTTAGGGCCCACCCCGGGGTCCCGGGGCAGGAGCGGGAGGCTTGGGCAGGGAGATAGCGTGGAGCGGGAGGCAGAGTGGAGCTGAGAGCCGAGTCGGAGCCCAGCCGCTTCTCCTCCGCCCCCTCCCCGCGGCTGTCACAGCCGCCTCCCCCCTTAGGAGCTGCCCGGATTGGCTCCCCCTACCCCCGCCCCCCCATCCTCTGCTTCCCGGAGGAGGCACGCGGTTAAAGGGTGAACTGGAAAGTGCCGGGAGGGAGACTTGCTCTCCTGCTACACCACCCACTAAACTGCGGGGCTTGGGGGACGAGGGGGCCAGAAAAGCCCCCTGTAAGGGACCCAAGCCCCCAACTCAGACGCCCCCTTCCCCCACAGTCAGTCAGTGCTGCCCAGTAGGGCCAGAGCCTGGGGGTTATGTCTGCGTGAGTCCCTTGTTCCCTCTTGTCTTCACGTCAGCCTTATTTTCTCGGTTGTTCCTCCTGCCGCCTGTTGTGTGTTCCCAACCAGCTGCCGCCATGGGCATGCGAAGCCAACCCGGCCTCTGGGCACAGGCTCACTGGTGGCATGGGGTACATTTGTCTCTCTCAAGTTCCAGCAGGGGCTTCACCTTCAGACTGCCCTCATATTCCCTGATCTGGTGACAGCCCCGCCCCCGCCCCCCCCACCCCATCCACTCCACCCCGCCCCCCCCCACCCCGAGGTAAAGGGAAGTTGTAAACCGGGTCCGTTTCAAGTCTTCATGGCTCCTGTCTTCCTTTTTTCTCTCAACTTTTCTGTCTCTTTCTCTCTGCCACCTGCTGCCTGAGACTCTTTGTTTTCCAGCAGATTTAGGGAGCTTCTGAAAGGTTTGGGCATCCAGGTGAGGATGCATAGGAAAAGAGAGAAGAGATGCGTCCCTGGTGAAGCCACGCCCTTCTCTGAAGGCAGGACTAGCATGCACAGGACTCCCTCCATCTCCTGCCTCATCCAGGCCTGTGAGACCAAAAGCCTCGGCGAAAGTACCTCAATGCAGTTAGTCCACTTCCAAACACTTTAGTCAGTGGGCCGTTCCTGAAGAGGCTGAGGCATGAGCTGCTGTGAGGGGGAATGCTCGGAAACCTCCAGAGCCTTCAGCCACGCTGAGTTCTAAGAGAGGATGTGGACTCCAGGTTGAAGGTCTTAAGTGTACCCGAAGGAAGGGCCAAGAAGCAGGCTTGTAAAATGGGGAGAGACAGGGCAGGCACCGACAGCTTTTGTCCTTGTAAGGACTCAGGCACTATGCCGGCCCGCCCCTGTAACCTGGCAGAATGCACTCAGGCAGTGCCCTGGTCAGCCCAGGTGCAAAGGACCCCTTTAAAAGAAAGACCCCCACACTTAAGTCCTTTTTTCTGCTCTCTTTGCCCACTCAACTCTTTCCAGCTGTTGCCCTGGGGCAGACAGGACTTTTCCTGTCTCCCCTTCCTCTTCTGTCCTCTCTCTGTGTCTCTTCACCTCTTTTCTCTTTCTTTCTAATGAAACTTCTCACCAAGCTCTGTCTGCCTGGCGTGTTTGTCCCTCCACCTCTGTCACCCTCGTCTGCCATAGAATCCACCAAGGTCCCCAACACAAGGTTCCCCTCAGGCTTTATCATAACAGTCCTAGACTGGCTCTTGTACCTCTACAGGAAAGGCTGGAAGAAACCCAGAAGGCATCCAAAGGACCTGCCCATTACACTACCCTCCTCAACGCCCAGAGGTGAAGGAGGCCATAGTTCTCTGAACCCTGCTGACTCCATCCGGTCCAGCTTGGAGGAGAGGTCCCCTTAGCACGAGGACCAACCCTGGATGACTTTAAAGAGATGAAGAGGGAAACAGACACTGAAGAGACTGTCCCACACAAGTCAATCTTTAATAGCTTTGATTTGCCACCAGCCCCAGCCACGGAAAACACTAAAACCCTCGGGTCAAGTTACCATCTAGTGACCAGTGATCAGGCATGGCCCAGCCCACATTGGCTTACGATTCTACATCTACGCACATGATAAGTCTCTAGAACCAGCACAATTCTGCTCAGTCAGAACTCTGGCTTCCAGGGAGGGCTAGTATCCCAAAGAGATGGATGCTAAGTGGACAGGAGCTCTGAAAGCCCCAGACTCCCTCAGTCTCCCTCTGGTCCTCGCTGTGCTGCCCGCTCCTGCCACCTACATAGCTTTAGGCTGGGGGCCTTAGAGGAGCAGCTGTTTTAGGGGTAGCTGTGGGGAAGGGAAAGCCCTACAGGTTCCATGGAGACTATAAAAAGACAGACCGCACAGACCAACTTCGTGAAGGTGGGATTGCGCAAGGCCCAGCTGGACCGTGGCTAGACAAGATGGAGGTCCTGGGATGGCGCTCACCTAGTGGCTCCCATCAACAGCTCCCAACCCCAGCAGGTTCTTCCTCCCAGCACCAGACCACAGCAGGAACAGATTCCTCCCTGGAGGAAATTCTTAGGCAGGCTGAATGTAAACAACAGCAGGGTGAGGGGGTGGAGCGGAGCTCATCCAGGCTCCCATTGGAGGGGTGGATGGGGGGGGGGCTGCTGGAAAGGGAACCAGCAAAGTAGGCACCTTGAGGGCTCCAGAAAACCTGTCAATGTTTATTTCACACACTCTCTGAAGACAGTTTAAAACAGACTAAAAATGAAAGGCTAAGTTGTGGGCCTATTGTGCTGATGAGTCAACGGTTGGAAAGCAGGGGAGAATGAACAGGTGCTCCTGGTGCCAAAACCAAAACCCAGAAAGCAGAGGTCAGACAGCAGAGCACCGGGCGATTCCAATCTCTAGTTTCTCTGAGGCATCAACTTTAAATGTAGAAAACAACAAAAAAGGCGCCAACCCCTGACCTGCTCTATGCCTGGGCATCAGTGCTTAGGACTGTACGCACTGCAGCAGGGGCAGGGACCTCGCTCAGCTCCAGGTCCAAAAAGGAAACAGGATGTGGCATCATAGCCGAGAACAGCCACCGGCCTTCAGAGTGTTGGCGTCAGCAGAGGCCTGCCCCACCAAGCACCTCAATAATCAGAAGCCAGACTTGGAATCTCAGTTAGGATCATGAGGCAGTATCCAGCGAATGCAGCCCACAAGCCCCACATCTTTGGATGCCTTTTCTGTTCCCGCCCATTTCTCCCTAAATAAGATCATCCTGGGCTTGCCCCAGCGTCCAAGCTCACTGAAGCATGGTCTTCACCAAGACTCTCCGTCTGTGCTTCTCTCCAACCTTGAAGGCAGGCCCCTCTCCCTCTGCTTGCCCTCCAGCCCAGGAGCCTCATGGTAAGGGCAGTCAGTGGCTCTCAGGAGGTGCAGCCTCAGGAGATGGTGGAGAACTCCTTCAGGAGGGCTTCCTGGCTGAGTGTGTGGAAGGCCAGGTTCCTCCTGACGTTTGTACTTATGGATCGAACCTGGGAAGGGCCAGGGAAGGAGGAAGGGCAGAGGAAGAGAGAACAGTCCGTTACTAACGGCAGAGGGCAGTGTCCGAGGCACTCCCTGGGCTAAGTTCCCTGTGCTGTCAGGATAAAGACCCAGACTCCCAACTCTAGACAGTTCTGTGAGGAACTTAGCAGCCTCTTTGAGGATGCTTGTCCATGGAAATACGCCTGTACTTTTGTGAGGAACAACCCAGTCAGGGAGGGAAAGAATGTGCTGTCTGCTTTAGTCCCCAGAGGCCAGGTAGCACAGGGCCAATGTCAGGCAAAGCCAGCTCATCAGCTCCTAAGTGGACCAGACCTTTCTTCCCCTGTGACAGAGGCTCCTGCCAGTAAGCCAAGCCGGCAAGCCAGCAGGAGGACCACTGTAAGTCCCAGGCCAGTCTAGGCTACACAGTGAGATACTGTATAGAAGGGGAGTCTCCTAATACACCTTACAGCCCTCCCCACAACCTAAAGACAGTCTATATTTGTTGCTAGTGCCCAGTGATTCCCCCATTAGTGTAAAGATCTCCTCTCACCTCATTAAACACATTGTACCCACTCTCTCTTTACAGGATAGCTTTCTTGTTCACAACTAGCTTGCCACAGAAGAGTCCTGAGGCATGCAGCACCTTCACCAGACTCGGTGCATTAAGTAAAGCTTTGCTGATGAAGGCCTGGCATGGGTTTAGAGACTGTGTCATGTCAGTCACTGTGTCAACCAAGCCTGCAGCACAGCTACAGGGAGGCAGAGCTTTCCCTGAGCAGCTCTGAGTACGGAACTGGAAAGGGAAAACCAAAAGGGAGAGACCAGCTTGGAAGTTTGGAGCCTGGCCCGGGAGGGACTGGGGGACATTGGGTGTTTGGGAAGCAGGAGTGGGCACAGAGAGTGGAGACGGGGGAACTAGAGTAGGGACTCTCAGGTCAAGAGCCAGTTGGAGAGTGAGGGAGGAGAGACTGCAGACCAGTGGCTCTCATTAGTTGCTCTGAGGACAGGAGAAGGGGTAGGCATCTGACTGCCACTGCAGCTGTGCAAGGCTGTCTCTGTGGCTGCAGAGGAGGCGGTAATGATGGCTTAGGATTATCTGCCTCTTACTGCCTTGTTCCAAAATGCTCTGGGAGAGGCTGCATACAAAACCCCTGCTTTCATTAGTCTCTAGCAAACTGCAGTTGTACCCTAGATAGACAGCAGGGTCTGGAAATGGGCCCCCCAGAGACACAGGCGATCTGGGAATGGGGCACTTACCAGCTCTTTGAAGAAGGCAGCTTCCTTGTGTTGCTCAGAGTAGCGCTCATACTGGTCCAGGCCATCTTGGAGCTTTAATGTGAGTGTGTCATAGTTGGCTCGGACCACCTCTAGTACCTGAGGAAAGTTGAGAGTCAAGCAGGGTCTCAGTCCCTAGCGAGAATGTTTATATAAAGCAAGGAGGCAGGATGGCGGGAGCAATTCTTCTGGGTTATGAGACTCCCCCCCCCGCCTCCTGAACCTCTCTTCTTCTTTGAGACAGGACCTCATGCAGCCGAGGCTGGACTGGAATTTTCATCCTCTGGCCCCTGCCTCCCAAGCATTGAGATTATAGGCATGGGCCACCATGCCCAGCCTCTGGGATCACTTTTGAATCTCTTTTATTCCCTGCCTTTCCTGACCAGCCCATCCTGGACACCAAGGCTGTGTTCCCTGGGTCTGGTCACCAGGTCCCTCAGTCCCTGAGTGAGGCCTCCTCTAGCCAGGCTGTCCTGGGTGCTGAGCAGAGCTTTCTGCCAATGTCTTACTGCTTCTCCCTTTCTGGAAACCATGCTTCTTCAGCCCTGGAATGTTCCCCAGCACCATCTGCCACTTGTTTTCATCTGTCAGCACCAACCCAGCCTTCATCTCCATCACTTGGAGCAAACTTGTGGGCATCCAAGTATTGAGTACAGTGGACACTTTCAAGAATAAGCCACAACTGTTATTCTGATGGGGCATGGGGTAGGGCATCTCCTCAATAATGCTTCTGTGGCTTTTAAAAAATTATTTAACTTTATTTTATGTGCATAAACTGGAACAGGAGTTACAGCTGTGAGCTGACATGGGGGTGCTGGGAACTGAACCCGGGTCCTTTGGAAGAGCAGCCAGAGCTCTTAACCACTGAGCTGTCTCTCCAGCCCCAGCTTTTGTTTTTCTGAGAACAGGGTCTTGTTACATAGTTTAGGTCAGCCTGGGACTCACTATATAGCTCAGTTTGGTCTACAACCCTTCATCTCCCCGTGTCACCTCCTGACGTATCTGCCAGCACACCTGACCTGACTCCTTATGGGTGAGGGTTCAAAATTCAACTGACCTTGGGAATACTGGATATTTGAGGTTAATAATAAAGGGACTGCCAGTCAAGCTTGATGTGACTTCAGTTTCTAAGAGCCTGGGTCAAACAAAGGCAGGGTAGGGGCAGGAGAAAGGGAGAGGCACTATACCAAGCTAGAGAAGCTGGCAGAGCATCATAGAAGGGTCAGGAGAGGAGAGCAACTGCTCACTCTGGAACCCTGGACGCTGGCATCTGATTTGCAGGAAGGCCACGACATCAAGGAAAACCTTGCTCACCAGTGAACTGGGAGGGTAAATGTGAGGGGCTCGATTCTGACAGAAGGCAGGAGGCAAAGGGACCCAGCCATGGCTAGACACACCATGGGATTGAGGCCGGGCTCCACAGGGGCAGAAGGCTACCTGCGGATGGTTTTCCTTTCTGGATCAAATTTGTGGCGGGACAGACTTTACTAGGAAGCAAATAAATGTCCAAGTTCCTGAGGAGACAGAAGAACTGGAGAACACTGAGAGGGGCTGTGTTCTGATGGGAGACGCTGAGTTTGAGTCTCAGGGACAACAAGGACAGAGGCCTATCCCCCGTCTGTGCTTTAAATACCAGATCCACCAGAGTTTTGCCTGCTGGGTCACAGTGTAGACCGATTGCTCTCTTTCCAGTTCCATAAGCAAAGGGACTGCATTCAGCAATGGCAGGCATGCGGGTGATCCAGTCAGTCCTCCTGTGCTTGTGGGCAGTGTTCATAGCTGGAACAGCTACAGCCAAGGTCTTGGTTCAAGGCCAAAAAAAAAAGGGGGGGAATCCCTCCAAGATGGTGCTAGTCCCTAGCAGCCAGGAAAAACAGTAATATATGCTTTCTAAAGTCCTAAAACCTGGGCAGTCTCAGCAGTGCCTATAAACTAACACCATGGGTTTAGTCTTCCCTGAGGGGAGTCAGGTACCAAATGACAAAATCACGCTCAAGCCTGTTGCTGAAGAAGGCTGCAGCCCAGGAAGAGACAGTCTCAGGGTCAGAGCAGGAAAGAGGCCTGTCTGTCTCTCGCATCCCCACGGCTTGTTCACTTCTAATGGAAGAAGACAGTCTCCGCTCAGGTCTGAGTTGGTGAATCTGTCTTGATGTATGAGAAGACATGTAGTGTATCTCTTATTTGAGCCTCACTCTGGCCTGGGTCACGGCTAAGGTAGCACTTGGGCAGACAGCAATCTCCCAATGCATAGGTAACCTTCGCATCTGGCTTCCTGCAAACCTCAGTGGCCTCTCCTAGGCTGAGATTCTTCTTTCTGGCTCTGTAGCTCAGGCCTTGGCTTGCAAGCCCCTGCCTCAGACACCTGAGTAGCTGGGATTACAGGCCTGTGTCTCCAGGCTGAGTGCAGACTCCTCTTCAAACTATTCCAGCTAAGTGTAAAGGCACACTTTTTTTTTTTTTTTTTTTTTGGTTTTTCGAGACAGAGTTTCTCTGTATTGTTTTGGAGTCTGTCCTGGAACTCACTCGGTAGACCAGGCTGGTCTCGAACTCACAGTGATCAGCCTGTCTCTGCCTCCCGAGTGCTGGGATTAAAGGCATGCGCCACCAACGCCCGGCTAAGGCACACTTTTAATCCTAGCACTGGGGAGGCAAAGACAGATACAGTTCTGTGAATTTGAGGTCACTGTGTCTAGACAGTGAGTTCTGTGCCAATTAGGGCTATACAGTGAGACCCTGGCTCAAAACCACCGCCACCAACAGCAGTGCATAAATAGCCTTCTCTAAACACCGACACACCTTTTTTCATCAGCTGCCGAGTTTGTAGGCTTCCTAGATCCATACCTACAATTTAGTCCATGGTGGTCTCAGAGTAGGAAAACTACCCCCTAGACATGTTTTCAAAGGAACCCTTACAAACCACTATAACCCCATGTAGCCAGGACACTAGATCCTGGACATGCTCTGACAGAGTAACTAAGGGTTTTTTTTTCCCCCAAGAAAGTGTTTCTGTAGCTTTTAGAGCCTGTCCTGGAACTCACTCTGTAGACCAGACTGGCCCCGAACTCACAGAGATCCACCTGCCTCTGCCTCCTGAGTGCTGAGATGAAAGGTGTGTGTCACCATCACTTGGCTGAAGCTGTTAGTAACTGTAGCACTCTTGTTAAAGGAATTCAGATAACACCTGACACCTATTGTATATATGTGAGTGTATGTGGTATATGCACAGGTGTATGTAGAGGAGAATGCATGCGTGCGTGTGTGTGTGTGTGTGTGTGTGTGTGTGTGTGTGTGTATGTGCGTGCGCGCGCGCGCGCGCACGTCTGTAGAAGATGACATCAGGCACTCTGCTCTATCACATTCAGCCTTTATTTCCTTGAGACTGGGGTCTCTGAACCTGGTGTTCAGCTGGTAGCCAGCATCACAGCGAGCCTCCTGTGTCTGCCCTGGGGTTACATGTGAACATATACCCATGCCTGATTTTTAAGTGTTTGTATAGAATTTAAACTCTGTTCCTCATGCTTGCAGAAAAAGCACTTTTACCGAGTCCTTTCCCCAGCCCCAACCCCTGACATTTTTGAGACTCAACCCTGTGTCTATGAAACGTAGCTTGACTCTTCCATTCTGAAATGACCTAGCAATGAAGGTTTTGAACGCCTTAAAGTTACTGCAGTTGATGGAAACTGCCATCCCAGATGACTACACAGCTATGGTGAGAGTCCACTGCTTTCATAGACCAGAAAGCACCTATTTTAAAGTCTCCTGCGCAGCTGACTGAGTCAGCCAGGCGTTGGAAGTTACCTATTTTAAATTTTCCCAAAGGCACTATAGGCCTAAGTGATTCTACCACAAAGGAAGGTTTAGATTCCAGGGGAAGCTGAGACAGACAAATGGCCTCAGTTTCAGAGCCCTCATGGCCGATTTGCTTTAAAACACTGCCTCAAAAAGTCCAAGAGGCTCCAAAGCCACAGAGAAACCCTGTCTCGAAAAACCAAAAAAAAAAAAAAAAAAAAAAAAAAAAAAGGCAAGAGGAAGCAGCCTACTGGGAGGGTCAAGGGGACCCAAACACCTGCTACTCAGGTGTCTGCAGACAATGGCCAACAACACAGTTATTACTAACATGGACTTTAAGGTCACAGGTCTGAATTTTGGCTCCACATTAGGCACTAATTAACTATATAAAGTTAATTTCTGGTCTTTTAACCTCAGTTCTCAAATATGTAAAGGGGCATAACAGCACGTAAGAAATAAAGACCCTCACGCCTCGTCAGACAGTGGCGCACACATTTTATCCCAGCACTCGGGAGGCAGAGGCAGGCGGAACTCCTAGTTCAAGGCCAGCCTGGTCTACAGAGTAAGTATTGAAACAGCCAGGGATGCACAGAGGAACCCTGTCATGAGAAACAAAACAGAACAAAACCCTCAAGCCTCTGGGTGGATGGTATAAAACATCACTAAGACATTAGAGCCCAGGTTCAAGGACAATGCCCAATGCATGGTGCTGGCCGAGCTAAAACTGGGTATGGTGACACACACTTGCAAATCCAATATACCTAGGTAGAGGCGGGAGGGTCAGAAATTCAGGGCCATCCTCATCCATCTATAGTTCCAGGCCAACCTGGTCTATGAGAGAAGGCCTTGTTTCAAAAAAGGAGAAACTTGGAGACAACCCTTAATGAGTTACAGACATGTGACTTGGGATGCTATTTTGGTTATCAGTTTCAAATTCAAGAGTCAGTTAGTTGGGTATCCTTTGCTCATCAGGCCTGGGACAGATGTTAGAAGGATTTAGTAAACTGAACAATGACTGTTCACATCTCAAGGCCAGACTCTGTTCTCACAGGCCATCCTCATTCTGATCTACTGCCGCACAGTTCCCTTTTAATGCCTGTCAAACCCTAACCTTACAGGAGATATGCTCGGGGTGCCGTGGAACAGAGAAGTTTAAAGGGAGCTAAAGTGTGCATGGGGGGCTTTTAGAGGATAATCTGTCTTTCCCACTAGTCTCAGTGTGTAGCCCATGCTGGGGCTGGGTCGCAGGTACACATTCCCCTCAACATTCACTCACTAGTTAAGACTTCCCCCCATCTTTCTCACACAGA